AGAGAGAGAGAGAGAGAGAGAGAGAAAGAAAGAGAGAGAGAGAGAGAGAGAAAGAGAGAGAGAGAGAGAGGAGGCCCTCTCCAATGGTAGCTTTCTGGTTAGCCAAAAACATCAGCTGAAGGTTTTTACTCAATTCAACATTTACATTTCCCGGCTGATCTCGGTCGAGCCGTAGAGTTGAAATATAACTTAGTACATTATTAGGAATGTTAAGGTTCAAATCCAAGAGATCCTTATCATTTTCAAGGTTACAATCCGAGTAACTATCGACACAATTATTTGTGAAAGTTCGTCACTTTGGCGCCTAAAACTTAGGAGCCACTTAGCTTTTGAATTTGAAAAAAATAACGGTGTTTCAGAAAACAAACACAAACACAAACACAGAAGGGTGCACAGTTTTACTGAGGAGTCTGATGTCACTAAAGTTTAATTTTCAGTTTTTCATTAGTTTCATTTAGATCTAATCTACGACGCCATTGTAAACAAGTGAGACTTCCGTTCACAAAGAGTGCGTGCTCTGATCCCACTAGGACTTGATGATCGATTCTTTTGAGTTCGTTCATCGAACGAGAAACCCACCTATCTATACATAATATGTTAGTAAAAGTTTGTCACTTTGGCCGCCTAAAACTTCCCAACCACTTAACTTTCGATTTTAGACAAAATTATTCGTGGTTCAGAATCGTTTGAAGGATGCACAGCTTTATTGAGGAGCCTGAAGTCACTATAGTTTAAATTTCAGTTTTTTGTCAGTTTCGTTTAGATCAAATCTTGGGAAAATCTGTTTTCCAAAACACCGTTGTAAACAAGAAAGATTTTCGTTCATTAGTGGTGCGCACTGTTTCCACACCTTTGAAATTCTGGAGTGTACAACCACGAAAGCGGAATAGAGAATCAGTCTATACATCGCTATATCTAGACCTTCTATTTTTTGGCATATCTCGAGATTTAATTCCCCATTCCAGTAGAGTGTAAATTAGTAGGCCAATGACTTTCAGTCTATGTTAATGCACCGATCATTCCTATAGTCGAAAGGGCGTCCAACTAGTCCGATATATTTTCCGGGTTCGAATCCGAGGAATCTGAATTATTTTCTCGTCCTTTTAAAACAAAATAATTTCCTTTCAGCCGGGTATCCTGACTCGGGACGAAAAGCTCTTCTTTTTAAAGAATTTATATTGTACAAAGAGTGGGCCAGTAACTTTACAAACAGCTTTACTTTGTTTAAATATTTTCGAGGAAAAAGAAAGAGAAAAGCGCAGTATTGGTCTCTGGGAAATATTTTGGTGTTATATTTTCATCACGTAAGAATAGTTAGGACTGGAACAAAACAAACAAATAAAAACCGACGAGAGAAAATTAAAACAAAGAGAGTGGAAACCACTGGTCTTACTTATTTGTGAGGCGTGCTAACAAAACGAGTTACTTCTCGCAATCCATGAATGGAGATATCAGCCAAAAATCAACAGAAAGGTCATATTTGTAGACTCTAAACCAATGCCATTCTCTTCAAGTTTAACATGTCTTTTATCATTTCATACTGATAAACTGTAAAACTTCAACCTATAAATTTGACGTGTCTATTTCCAACGGTCTAAAATCTGAGAAGAAACTCATTTTGTCAGCACACTTCACATTTATTTCACAAAAGAGAAACCACTCGAAGGGTTAATACATTGGTGAAAAGAAAAAACAACGTGTTTATAAGCATTCCCCATTGAAGAAAAATTATTTTAAAAAAGAAAATAAAGCAAGCAAAATTACAAGAAACACCAACATAAACATCCCACCAAAACCACAACCAATCAATAAAACAAACAAAAGTTAAAGGGGAAAAATAAACGTTTCCTTGTCCGTCTTTTTTTTTCTTTAATTTAAAAAAAAAAAACAATTTAAAAAGAAAACTCAGTTTCAAAAGAAAGCTGTTGATATGTTTTCATGCAGTTTTTTTATTTTATTTAGGGAAATCATGTTCCGGGTATCAGGTATGGCCTCAGCGTCAGATTGACATACTGAAGAAATGGGTTCTATTATGGTATGTGTCACAACGCCGTGGAATCAGGCACTTGTCAATTTTGGGGCATGTGGTGGAGTCATTGTTATCATTTTTAAACGTGTTCCTTTGTCTTCCTTTCGATGACAAAATCCCCGTCTATTTTGAACAGAAGTCGAGATAGTTACGATTGAACGAGGAAGGATCGAAATACAAACGCCTACAAAAATTAGGTGAATTCCATAGCTTGAGAGTCCTAGGAAAGGAAAAATTCAATACTTGTGTACAACGTTTTTCCACACATTCTGCACACACACAAACTGTGTTTTTTAATGGACATGAAAGAGATAGAAATTGTCAAACCTGCTGAAAAATTCAGATATCTTCGATGTCATTATTTTGACTAGTGCCTCCTCCCACACTATGAATATTTGTCCAAATTCCGAGTCTACCCACAAAACCGAGAACGTTCGGGATAGAGTGACGCCAACATAATATTATTGTATCTAATAATCCTGGCTTCTAGATTGAGAGTCCTATTTAACAGCACCCACCCCAATTTTTCTCCCTCTGACGGCCACCCCACCCCTTCTCTGTAAATGTC